CCTAGTTAGATGTAGGTAGTTAATTCGATGTGTTGCCTCTTTTTTATAAGTACTTATAGAATTTCTGCTTGATTGGCAGTAGGTACCTAAATATTTAACAATTTGATTTTCCTGTGCGTAAGATTTGAAAAAATATAATCTTAGTTGTCACTAAAATAACTTAGAGCATTATGTCTTGTATAGACTTTCATGGTCACTAAGCAAATGTTGAGTAATTTTCTGTTTTCATTCAGAAACAATAGTTTGACGTTGGTTAGAAGTTTTAGAAGATATTTCCTAAAAAGTACTAATAAGTACATAAACAAATGTATTATATTATGTATATATATTAAAAGGCTTAGCTACTCTACCTCTATTTGCAAGAGATAACATTATCATAATATATCGAACTCTGAACTCCACCATGTTTTACATAAGTGCTTGTTTACAAACAAAGTAATAACAATAAAACTAAGTTAAGGAAATTACTTATCTCCATCTGTATTACTGATATGATAACAACTTAGCTGTGACATTTCAATATCAATCATGTAATGACATGTTTAATGCAATTATAGAGATGGATACATAGATCTATGTATTTTTAAGTTTACAACAATTACTGTAAATTTTGTATCAGTGGTAATCATTAATACATAGCATACTAGGAAAAGTGCTTTTTAAAAATCCTATTTGCAAAAATAAATGAGTTTTATGAGAGTTTATGACTTTTTTTTTACAATAAAAATAATTTTAATGCAGTTTTCAGCAATAGATAGAGTGTTTCAAAAGGAAGGTTTAAAATATTACAAATTCAATGCCCTCGTGCGAAGCCGGGGCGGGTCGCTAGTTTAATGTATTTCAGATTTAATCTTACAGGAATTTACAAAATACGTTTTACAACTAAGTAGGCAGTTGCCTGCTATACAAAACTAATAATAATTTAGAAGGATCTTTCTTCTTTGTAAAGCGAGTCAATGCTCTAGTACTATTATTATTCTATTTACGTACCCATTTGTATGGGCTTAGACAATATAAACTGTCGGAGGCAAAGGTCGCTTGTCTTTGTCATTGGGTTCAGAGGCGAGTGAGACGGCTGTATGCAAATGAAAGATTGGCAAAGATTGAAGTGCAATGCTCAAACGGCTTTGAATGCAGCATATTTATTTTATTTTCTTTAGTGGAATTGTTATTTTAGCAGCGCCTGATATGTTTTTATGTGTTTACCTAAAATCTAAATACATATTATAGTAATCGAAAAAAAAAAGTATTTTTTATGTTTGTAGAGATGTATTAAAAAAAGCCTTTATTATTATTTTTTATTACAAGGTGAAACAATGTTAAGTCCTTAAAATAAATTTATTTATTTATTTATTTATTTATTTATTTATTGATAAAGATCTACCAACAACACAACTTTACATAAACAAGTAATGCATGCTATGATGACAAGACCAAAAGATGTGTCTTTATAGGTAAATACAGCTTACATACAAAATAAAAACTTGACGACCGAAAGTACAATACTAAACATAAAATTATATTGGAGTTAAGATATTAGCATAATAATAGAATAAATCTTGTTATATAACAGGTTAAAATGGTATTTCAGAATATTTCAGGCCGTCTACGCGCACCTACGTAGATTTATTCTTTATTCTTAAGTTTGTAACGCCATAGGATTTACCTAAAATATCTGGCAATATCTCTTCGGTCGCGACGAAGAAAATTAAGGCTTTCATCCAAACTAATTGCCGTTTCCAAGCTTACAACGAAAACAAAATGGCATATTGTCAGCGCAAGATCAAGGTTGGTTTACGAATTCACAATGAAAATTCGTAAAATACATTAACCAAACTCGACTCTACTCGTAGTATGGACAATGTCACATCGCACGTAATGTCACAGTCTCACCGACAATACTGTAATACTGTGACAATGTGGCGGCGCTGGCGTCAGTTGTCACACGGAACGAAATGTATCAGTCTGCATTCTCCACGACTGTCATACAATTTGCAACATAATGACGGTAGTTTACTCCGAAAGACGACATGCGCGAATCGAGCGTTGAAAAATGTGAGCTTGTGATTTAGTGAAATAAATGGCGAATATTTAAATGTCACAATATGAAGGTAACACAAACTATTCTTATGTAGAGCTTTACGTCGACGCTGACATCATAAGGTTTGATAAAAAGCATTTTTTATCCTTTATTTTATTTAAGTAAGAATTAACACGTCATTAAAATGGAAGTAATTCATTTGTTTTTGTTGTTGAAGCATGACGCAGAACTGGACACACTTATGTTGTCAATTGTATACGAATCCGCTTGTAGAAAAGAAGAGCCACTTCAGCAAAATGATTAATGTCACAATCGATGTAGGTACAAGTATAATGTATACGTAATATCTGAGTAAGTATTTATGTTATGCTAAATTCCGTATTCATCCTCGGAAAACAGATCGTTATTCTTTATAACCACTTAAGAATGGAGGAATGAAGGCCCATGAATAAAGAATTTATTCTCATACTAAGCAGGGTAAATAATAACATATTTCTTGATTGAATGGATACCTTTATCTACCTACTGTACCTACGTATAGTAAAACTCTTAAAAATGCGGTGAATTGAAAAATCCGAGTAAGAGAGAGTCTCATGTACATTTCTCAGATCCTTGAAGCTCAAAATAACCTATTCCATATGCTTTGAGATAACATAGGTAATTAATGCTTACGTACAAGAGACCTGAGTGTGTAGTATGTAAATTCCCTTTGAGTCCAAAAATACAACCCACATTTCATACTTTTGACATTTTCTGCGAAAAAAGCTTGCGGAGTGACGTTTCAGAGTGCTGCGGAGATCTATTTGAATAAAGACGTTTTAATTTCCAAAAATCTGGATTTCTGCGGAATGTGTCAGCATTTTTAGGACTCAATTCCAGATATTCCGAAATCTGGTTTAAATGAAGCAAAGGGACATCTCCATTCGTTATCTAGGTAGGTACATTACTTGTCAAAATTATGTTTATGAGTCTAACATCCTCTATTCATTTTTTTTTTGGGTGCAAGTATTTATTTTTAGTAAACAATAACAAACTAAATTTGTACAGGTAATTTACAAACTTAAAAACTATACTATATACAAAAAAAATACAATATTTACAAAAAAGGAAAATAAAAGTTAAATTAAAAAAGTATCCCTATCCCCAGATCTGTCGGTGAGGTTAGCGGTGCCCAAAGGCTGGCAGCGTTTCCGCGTTGGATCGCTAGGCTTAAACGCTGGCCAAGGTAGAACCCGGCCTTCTGGTCACCGGTGACCTCGATGATGCGGGAGGAAAGCTCAGTGAAAAGCTTTTTGGCCTCCGGGCCCCAAGGTCCCAGCGTTTCCACGCCGAAAGGTACAAAACGGTAGCAGCTGTCTAAAGCGGAATATTTGCTTTTTTTCAAAGATTCCGCTGAAGCAGCCGCAGCGCCTGCAGCCCTCGACGTGGAAGGCACATGGGAGGGGGCAAGAGTGTCGCAGCAAGTCGCATCCCAGACCAATGCCCGACCCTTAGACCAAGGAATTAATGTCATACCGTCGGGCCTTTTACCATCATCTCGACAGATACCTAAGGGTTCAAGTACTGCCGGGATACGAATTGATGTAAAGGCCCGACGTATGATGTCATTAAGACTTGCATGGCGAGGAATGCGACCTGCACTTTTGACGCAGGAGAGGCCATGATGACCAGAACTATCCACTGAGATCCCGCAACGACAGAGGTGGGGATGGGTGTAACTAATTCCAAGACGCAAAGAAATTAGCACGGAAAGTGAAGTGTTGTCTAGGACAGTCCCGATATTGGCTGAAGGAACAATGTTCAGCCAATATCCGGACTCTCTTTCAGCAACAGCAATGAGACGAGCACGGTGTGTATCATCTGTGCAAGAAGACAAAAGAGAATCATACGTGATTTTACACAGCGGCTCGTCCCACTGCCTCTGTGAAGACAAAGACAAAGGTAAATCGATCTTGGACAAATTTGACCATGCATTTCTTGCATCTGTCAAACACGAGACCTCAGCATCGCGGAGCGACGAGTTTAAAATAGATATAAAGAGGTTTAAAAAACCTGTGAAAAGCAGATGAAAGGAAGGCAGGCAATGCTACACTCGAAATTTTGCGAGTGCCTCTATTCATAATTACTCTATGTAAAGTTGTACGTTAAATCCCACACGATAAATTGTAGACGATCTAATTCGTAGTAAGTTCTATGATGCATCGTTCGATAACATAAATCATTAGACACAATTACGTTTTACGACAACACACGTTTACGAGTACGAAAGTCCTGGACTTTCGCTCAGTGCGTGTCACTCCATGCACATGTTGTAAAAATAATCTCCAGTGCGATCTGCACGCAGAGGGTCGCTGGGTCAGGGGTCAGCCAATCGATAGCTTGTGTCAAAACAACGCGTATTAAGTAGACATTATAGCTAATGAGATCGTAATATCTGCTGTTAATGCAAGAGCACGTTTCTTCGTTTAAACAAATAAAAACACATATTACATAATTTCATTGGGAATTTTAGTTTTTTTAACAATTTGTATAAATACCTTATCTTCGTTAGAGCTCTTACACACNAACAGTTTAAAATCGTATTTCAGAATATTTCAGGCCGTCTACGCGCACCTACGTAGATTTATTCTTTATTCTTTAGTTTGTAACGCCGTAGGATTTACCTAAAATATCTGGCAATATCTCTTCGGTCGCGACGAAGAAAATTAAGGCTTTCATCCAAACTAATTGCCGTTTCCAAGCTTACAACGAAAACAAAATGGCATATTGTCAGCGCAAGATCAAGGTTGGTTTACGAATTCACAATGAAAATTCGTAAAATGTACCAAACTCGACTCTACTCGTAGTGTGGACAATGTCACATCGCACGTAATGTCACAGTCTCACCGACAATACTGTAATACTGTGACAATGTGGCGGCGCTGGCGTCAGTTGTCACACGGAACGAAATGTATCAGTCTGCATTCTCCACGACTGTCATACAATTTGCAACATAATGACGGTAGTTTACTCCGAAAGACGACATGCGCGAATCGAGCGAAAAATGTGAGCTTGTGATTTAGTGAAATAAATGGCGAATATTTAAATGTCACAATATGAAGGTAACACAAACTATTCTTATGTAGAGCTTTACGTAGATGCTGACGTCATAAGATTTGATAAAAAGCTTTTTTTATCCTTTAGGTATTTTATTTAAGCAAGAACTAATACGTCATAAAAATGGCCCTAATTCATTTGTTTTTGTTGTTGAAGCATGACGCAGAACTGGACACACTTATGTTGTAAATTTTATACGAATCCGCTTGTATAAAAGAAGAGCCACTTCAGCAAAATGATTAATGTCACAATCGATGTAGGTACGAGTATAATGTATACGTAATATCTGAGTAAGTATTTATGTTATGCTAAATTCCCTATTCATCCTCGGAAAACAGATCGTTATTCTTTATAACCACTTAAGAATGGAGGAATGAAGGCCCATGAATAAAGAATTTATTCTCATACTAAGCAGGGTAAATAATAACATATTTTCTTGATTGAATGGATACCTTCATCTACTTACTGTACCTACGTCTAGTAAAATTCTTAAAAATGCGGTGAATTGAAAAATCCGATAAGAGAGAGTCTCATGTACCTACAGTCGCGGAATGAAAAGGTTCGTCACCTTAGTGTCGCTTTTCGCTTGCACTAGGTACTGAAAGAATCAAACCTGCCAACATAACCGTGCAAGAAACAGTGCTGCTAACATTGAAATAAATAACTATGACGTTTGCTAACGAATAAGGTTTTTGCTTGTTTATTTTTCTATCCCATCAGTGCAATGTCACAAAATGTAGTTTTTTTTTATTTAATAGAAATAATAATGGCCTGTTGAACCAACAAGAAGGTTTTAGTTTATCAATCATAATAATCTTCTTGACAAGATGAATCGTCAAACAACTTTGATCTGAATAATTTTGAACTTTACTGACGAACAGTTAAATATCATTTTCTCTAACTCGAGATTATTCTGTAACATAGTTTCAAAAGGTAATAATATTACCTTTATGTGCTCGCGATTCGTTGAAGGAATCAATTTGAAAACTGACGAACCTTTTCATTCCGTGACTGTATATTTCTCAGATCCTTGAAGCTCAAAATAACCTATTCCATATGCTTTGAGATAGCATAGGAAATTAATGCTTACATACAAGAGACCTGAGTGTGTAGTATGTAAATTCCCTTTGAGTCCAAAAATACAACCCACATTTCATACTTTTGACATTTTCTGCGAAAAAAGCTTGCGGAGTGACGTTTCAGAGTGCTGCAGAGATCTATTTGAATAAAGACGTTTTAATTTCCAAAAATCTGGATTTCTGCGGAATGTGTCAGCATTTTTGGACTCAATTCCAGATATTCCGAAATCTGGTTTAAATGAAGCAAAGGGACATCTCTATTCGTTATCTAGGTAGGTACATTACTTGACAAAATGATGTTTATGAGTCTAACATCCTCTATTCATAATTAAAAAGTTATTTATCCTGCTCTATGTAAAGTTGTACGTTAAAGCCCACACGATAAATTGTAGATGATCTAATTCGTAGTAATTTCTATGATGCATCGTTCGATAACATAAATCATTAGACACAATTACGGTTTACGACAACACACGCTTACGAATACGAAAGTTTCACTCAGTGCGTGTCACTCCATGCTTGCACATGTTGTAAAAATAATCTTCAGTGCGATCTACACGCAGAGGGTCGCTGGGTCAGGGGTCAGTCAATCGATAGCTTGTGTCAAAACAACGCTTATTAAGTAGACATTATAGCTAATGAGATCTTAATATCTGCTGTTAATGCAAGAGCACGTTTCTTCGTTTAAACAAATAAAAACAAATATTACATAATTTCATTGGGAATTTTAGTTTTTTTAACAATTTGTATAAATACCTTATCTTCGTTACCTTTATTGCAGCTTTTAGGCTTATTTATTGCGTGACATTAAAAATACTTGATTTTACTTTAATTTCTATGTTTAGTTGATTTTTCAATGGAAGCTACAAACAAATGCCGAGCTAAGTTTAGAATGACGTCACATTGTTTCTTTTACAATACTGAAAAATAAAGTCAAATCCGTTTCATAGAGTAAACCAATCGAAGGTCAATCTCACTCCTTGATAGTTTCATTTGCGTATCTATCATATCCCCCTGTTTACATTGTAAAATCAACTGTTTGCCTGTCTACTTTGATGTACTCGTTTTGTTTAGAATACATCGAGGAATGGCGTATAATTTTAGATCTTCGATACTTACTGCACATTATTTGACTGACAGATTGATTTTTGCAAAGTTTTTTCTACCGCTTATTACAATGTTAAAAGTTGACCCACTTAATAAAAAACACTATATCTGCGATTGAAGCCATCAGCACATAAATAACTTAGCTCACAATAAAAAAATCCTATGTGAAAATGCTCTAGAATTCTGAAATTTTGTGGGTTTCTAGGGTAATTCTAGGTCAAACTATATTTGGGACGTGTATGAGTGCCCTGAAAAGGGTACATACTAATAAATATTTTGATTTGAATACTAGAGATATTTTTACCAACTGTAAGCCATTACGAGTAAAAGACACGATTATCTATTACTCCAGTAACACAATATTACACAAAAAATGCTCTAGTATGACAAAAGTTCTTCTGAAAGTACGATCGCCATGTGTGGTCGGAATGGGCAGCATTTGTCACCGACCGAACTGACCGACGTCAACTGTTGAGCCGGTACTCGAGTTTAGTGATGCGATACGAGTCTTTCAAATCAAGAGTTTTGAAACTTAAATTATAATTGAATTTCTACTGTATTTGTTAAGTTAATAGGAGCATCGCCCTTTGATACGAATTCATATCGAGCGGTTTGATTTGAACTAGAGAATTTTATAGATGATGCAAAACAACGTGTTGAACATCACCCACACTCGTTTTGTCAGACCAGTGCTTATTGTCTTTAATTAACTTCACATTTGTCATAGTTGTGTTATAATATTTTTTAATGTTGTAGTTTTTTAATGTAGGACCTTCTAGTGTATAGATACTTTAACTTCGATTGCGATATAGAAAGATGACTGAAGGATTTAGTAGAGGCGACGGTACATTAATATTTTTGTAATTGAAATTGATGGTATTTTGCTAATAAACAAATTGAAATCTAATGTGCTGTAGAGTAGGTACGTGAGTACTGCGCAAATAATGTTTTCTTTATTACTTTAAGTAAAATAAAGCGTTTTCTCTACTTCACCCATAAAATTTTCATATAACTAAGCCCACAAACAGCAAACATAACTTCGTACTAATAGTCGGGTGTAGGATTTCTAAGAACAGGTATTAAGTATTGATTACTTGACTAGTCACCTGTGGTTTACGACGGTACGGTTTACTATCGCCTCTAATAAATAAATATTAGTTGTTAAAATATTCACTATGTTAGTCACTGTATGGACTATGCGGGGTTTTCTAACACAAGTATTTAAACAAAAACCGCAATCGTGTCCCAAAAATGTAAAAAAATAATACTGAGTAAACAATTTGAATTTGAATTTATTGTTTGAACAATGGACATCACTAGGAATAAGCTTATGGAGTAAAAATAACAGATTTACCCAAAAAAGCATGTTCGGTTGAACATGTGATATTGGTCATAGTTTTTGTTCTGTGGGATCGGAGAATTCGCAAAGGTTCGAATAGTTTTTGTGGGCCAGTTAAAAGTAAAAGCATATTTTGTTGAGTCACGTCGGGCATGTTTACACAAGTGTTGATGTTTTTTTCTCTAGATAATTAAGTCGCATTTAAAGGTCAACTTTAATTTGATTATGATTTAAATCTCATTTTAAATACTTACCATCCCGACTTTTAAAAGTATTATTATGTAAGAATTGTCTAACTTTTCTTTCTTGATACAGAGGTTCTGCATTCGAATCTCAAATGGAGCAAATGTTGGAACAATGCAGCAGGGAAATATGATTCCGTGTTTTGATTCGTGGCTAATTATATCTGACACCAGTTTTTTTAACCCAAAAGATAGAAAAATACGACTCTACATTTTGTTTCTACAAAATAATCTACACTAATATTATTAAGAGGAAAGATTTGATTGTTTGTTAGTTTTTATTACGTTGTAGTTTGTATTTGTAGTACGAAACTACTGGACGGATATGAAAAATTCTTTCACCATTAAAATCTATAATATGAGAAGTTCACCGGATCAGCTGGTCTTAATATAAACGTGAACAGAACGCACTTCTCTAATCAATGAGTTGGTAAAAACTCTATATCCTAAATACATTAAATGAATCACTATTCATCTAATAACAATTATCGTTTGCATACGTCACTTAATTTCTCGTAAACGGTTAAAATTGCTATTAGGGTGTCATAGAAGTAAGATGAATTAATGGTAATGTCATTTTAAGATTTATATTTTTCGGTATTTACCTAGGTAGAAATAGGAAATAACCTATATTGGGGTCATTACTACGTAATGTGTCAATTCGTTTTTTTTATTTAATTATTTTTAAATTTAGAAATCTATAATGCGATGAAAATGTAACGAACCAGAAGCATGTAATTATAACTCGCACTTATGTCGATTCGTAACAAATACCTACTCGTAGATAATTGACAATCATATAGGGAAAGGTTGAAACATTCGAGAAATTCGCATCAATAAGTTTTTTTTAATTTAATTTAATACACAAAATCCTGTCACATCCAGTAAGTATGAATCGAGTTTTCTGGAGACACGGGAAAAGTCAACAAGACAGACTGCAGTTACATTTGTTCTAAAATCACACTTATTACAGCTTTATTAAGGTCTTATAGAGTTTACCATGATATACCATCCGTAGCATTAAAACGTACCTCGCTATACGTACTGTATTTTGTTGTTTATTTGAATGGAATAAAATTGTTGGAGCAGTTGTTAAAACACCGCCGTCATGACAAAATAACTTTTATGTGATATTGCGCTATTAGTCTATACTAATATTATAAAGAGGAAAACTTTGTTTGTTTGTTTGGTTGTAATGATTAGGCTTAAAAACTACTGGACCGTTTTTAAAAATTCTTTCACCATTCGAAAGCTACATTATCCACGAGTAACATAGGCTAAATTTTATTTTGGAAAAAAATAAGGTTCAGGGGTCCACGCGCGCGAAGCCGCGGGCGGAAAGCTAGTAGATAATAACCAGACAGACACACATTGTGTTATTGAATCGAGCAGTGATGAATCAACTTAGAGAGTTGAAAAACTTGTGATAACATTTGTAGATATTACTTTTTTGCAAAAAAAAATGTCAAGTCTAATGATCTGGTGAGTGGTACATATTAGATTTTAAAATGATATTAATAAAAGACATCTCTCTACATCATATTGTATACTTACATTCCGATGATAATTTTGTTTACAATTAATATTCAATGTGTTAAAGGGAACACGAAATATTATAGCAGTTTAAATCACACTAAAATGTCTAAGTTTAGTGACGGTAAAAACAACTTACTGACCTCTAGATCCAACCAAAGATTGCAAATAAGTTTCTACTCAGCGATTAGTATGAAATTTTATCACTTTCCATTGGAACGTGTTCGCTCCTAAAGGTCAAGTTTGCGTACACAGATAACTGCACAAATCCAAAACTTACGTGGTGAATATTCGTTTCTGGACGTCGCACATCTCTTAGCGAACAACACTGGTCCTCGCACCACTTTACCGACAGCTCGACCCAGCTGTTTGAATTCCATATTCGTCAAATATGTTCCAATTCCAAATAATCACACCACATATTGTACCACAGACAACACTCGCACGTCATGCTTGCGGTCGCGTCAGTAATAAACTGGCCAGCAGTGTCAATCAATTTAATTTTTATAAGGCATTAATGTATTCTGTTCGCCGAGAATACATTAAAATACGATTAGTTGAGCACGTGTCTTCGGCTGCAGTTTGTTATGTGGGGTAAGGGAGTGACTCGCGTGTGGCATATGGAATTAGGTTGGTGTTTACTTAGAATACATAAACTAATGTACTTATAGGAAAAGCTCTCTTGAAGTGCGTGACGTTATTATTATTTATAACACCTTGAACTTATTACATTAGAAATTATTTCAGTAGTTAGAAAGCAAATCTATACTTTAAGTTTGTGGGGATATGGATAGTAGATGTTTTAAAATACAATTTTACTTTGTTATAGTTTATACATCAGAATACAACAGTAGGTACGTGCTATAATTAGGTAGGATATCGAATCTAAGCAAACAAAGCTCAGGGCAAAAGCTAGTATAATAAATAAATATCAGAGCCGTAATTTTACCGCAATGCGTTAGTAGTATTGACCGGATGAACTAATCAATGGAACTTACAGTCCTTAAGCATAACTTAAGAATAACTTAATACATGGGATATGGTGAACATTGTTTACATTTGCAGTTGGATAAAATCGAGACCTTTTATCAAGGTCTAGAAGAAGGTTAGCCAGTGCTTGAACTAATTTTGTAAACACCAGTTATTCAAAGTTCACCTTACATAGCGAACGATTATAGGGTAATTAATGTTGACGCCAACAATAATGTAATAACTATAACATACCAGTGCACAATAAAAGCTTCGATGCAAGTCTTAAAGGATATTAATTCCCATTATTTAAGTGGTAAATATATATTACAAAAACCCAAAGGTGACTGACTGACTGACTGACATAGTGATCTATCAACGCACAGCCCAAACCACTGGACGGATCGAGCTGATATTTGGCATGCAGGTAGATGTTATGACGTAAGAATCCGCTAAGAATGGATTTTACGAAACTCCACCCCTAAGGGGGTAAAACGGGATCCACGCGTACGAAGTCGCGGGCGGCCGCTAGTTAATTATATGTTCTAAAAGTTACTGGCTGACACATAATTAATTTATTTTACGGTGACAAGTGTCAATCGACAGTAGTTGACTATTGTCCCTGTGTCACAATATTAATAGGTAAGTACCTACCTAATACTTTTCATGACTGTGTTGTGATTTATAGAAAAGACCTTTGGGAAATTCTAAGGTGATGTCTTAAGTTACCCAGTCAAGGACTTTGTCATTGATTTTAATTTATTCATACAGGCTTATTAAATTGGATATTTAATGTTGAAAATACCCATAACTCACGAGGAATGCGAAATTAAATAATACTACTCGTATAACACATAAAACACGAATTCGACACAGATAGCCACTATTTGACGTATAAGCAATAAATAAAAATTACCATATTTATTCTTCGCGGTATAATAAGTTATATAGTGAAAGGTCTTAAGTCACACAGCTCTACTAAATAAGTGTGAAAATTATTCGAAGTTTCTAGCTCTGTTTTGAAGAAATCCAAATTTTAGAATATCTGAATGACTTAACTGAATAAAGCATTTTTAAGGATAGACTTTCCGTATTTTCGGATCCATCTATGTCCTTAAAAGCGAAGACTCGTAACGTTCGAATAATGTGTAACGACGGCCACAAGAGACCTTCAAGTACGAAAGACACATTAGGGTAGGCCGCCATACTTGCAATAAGAATGGATCCGTTAAAAAACTCTTATAAAAATAGATCTGACGTGTGAAAGGGAAAACGTTGCGTAATTTCATAAAATTGAAACAAAAGAAAGAATTTTTTTTAGACCGGTATTAAGATGCCCATTGCCACTTCAGCTGACTAATCCGTCGGGCTATGTCAGCGACTTTAGTTCGTTTACGGATCTCCTCATTTCTGATTTGATCTCGTAGAAGTAGTAGTATGCAGAACTGACGGCCGATGGGGCAGCAAGTTTCTGGAGTGGAGGCCGCGTACCGGAAAACGCGGCGTGGGACGTCCACCCACAAGGTGGACCGACGACATCATAAAGGTAGCAGGAAGGCACTGGACGCAGGCCGCTACCAACCCGGCAACATGGAAAGCATTGGGGGAGGCCTATGTTCAGCTGTGGACATCCTATGGCTGAGATGATGATGATGATGATGATTCAAAACTCAATTCAATCTCAAACATAGATTCATTTTTGTTAGTAGGGAATTTAGTGCAAGAACCCCTCCACTTTGGTATAGAAGGCTCATTTTAGCAACAGTGGTTCTTTGGGTGCTACTGAGTGGATTTCCGTCGGTAGACATCGGGAGCCCCCCCTGTGGTAGCAGGGGGAGGGGGGGCAAGTTTCCTTCCGCCGCGCTTCACTTTAAGGCCCATATCTTCAAAACTATGGGTATTAGGGCAAGTGTGGTATCATTTTCGGATAATTAAAGGATGGCGAATTCATTTTTAGAACAAACTTTTTGCCTTTTCATACAAAAAATTAGGAATATTGAGTAAAATTCACAAAAACCAAAAAGTATTTTTTTAAATAAACGTCGTTTACTTTTAAACCACTAGAGATAATCTAATAAAAAAAAATATGACCTAAAAGCTACATTTATCAGGATTATAAA